TTTTTTCCAAGCATTAATTCTGTCTCTTCAAGTCCACGTTGTGCTGGCATTGGCCTTAATGTGGCAAAGCAGGATGGCTCCAGGTGACCCTCAGCATGAAATCAGGGTCCAGGCACTTACTTTTGAAGCTATTCCATTGAGATTTCAGGTTTCTTAAGGAAAAAATAAGTAAATAATAATAATAAAAAAATCGTGGTGATTCCAAGCCACTGCTTAGAACTCTTTTTTGTGCTATTAAATAACTCATAGAGCAGCACAAACCTGAAGGTCAAAGGAACAAAAAGCCTCAACTACGAGAAAAAGTAACAGAGGAAGAGCAACTTTTTTTAAGCAGGGACTGTTTTGTGGGTTTTTTTTAACCAGTGTTTAATACAAGATTAGGCTCTGTTTGATAAGCCAAGGACTGCAATGGAGCACTGACTTCCAAGGAAAATTATGTCAGTGACTTTGCTGATTGTGGAGAACACAGCTCTTGAACTTAGAACTGCAGTGTCTGAGGGCTGCAAGGAAATCCTTGTTAATGACCAAGCTGCAGATGGGCTCCCGGGTGACCCTGAGGGCAGAGGTTTGTGTTGACTCAGGGTGAGTTCACAGGGATCAGCCCCTGCAGCTGGAAGGTGTGTTTGCAGTGCACAGGGAGTGGGACTCGCTGCAACCAGCCCGTTTGTGATAAGGCTTTGTTGTGGTGACCCAGGCAAAGGAAGGAGCCTTCCCTCTCCTTCCCTCTCCTTCCCTCTCCTTCCCTCTCCTTCCCTCTCCTTCCATCTCCCTTCCCTTTGAACATGAGGAGTTCACCCCAGCACAGCACTTAGGAAGGGCCTGCAGGGACAGTTCCCTCCCTTGCTCCCCCTTGGCAGTGGGAGAACAGGGTTTGGCCATTCCACTTGGAATTCTTGCCTCTGGTTTCAGCTCACTGCAGGGCTGCAGAAGGGTCTGTCAGTGGCACTGGGGACACTGATAACGAGGAGGAATCGAAGGCAGAGGAGCCATTTCACTGTTTTGTTCTCTCTCATTGGGCTGTTTGCAAGGTTTGGGCAGTTATGGAACCCGTGACCCAACTTCCTCCAGTCTGACAAGAGGGTGTTTATCTTCCTCCCTGGACTTGGGTGACTTCTGGCAAAGAAAAGCCCCAGAACCACCACCAGCCCTCCCATTATCAAGGGCCAGCTGGTGGCTGAAATGGCAACTTCAGTATCTTTTAGCAGTTTGTTCTGGGGTGTGTTCCCATGACAGTCCAGGACATACAAATACAGCATCAGCCTGGAAATCCTGAGAGCCAGAATTCTGTAAGGACAGGTCCTGACCCCTCTCCTGCATTCCTGTCATAAATGCTGGAAGCACTGCTGGCCTGGGGGCAGGAAGCAACTGCAATTCCCAGACCTCCCCAGACAAGGTGTTTTACAGAAAACCAAGAGCAGGTTTTCCCTGGAGTTGCCTTTGGTCTTTGGAATTGCAGGCAACGTTGACTTTGCCAGTGGGAAAGTTTAGCAGGTTTAAGGGGTGTTGGACTTCAGAGGGGTCCTACAGAAAACAGAATTCATCCCTCTGGCCTGCAGACCAGGCTGGTAACCGGGTTTAAAATGCAGTGCTGCAGCAGTTTGCCTCTAGAATCATCTGGGAAGCTGTAGCAACTGAAAGCTTTTACATTTTCTAGTTAATCGAGCTGCTTTCCTGAAAAGAGTCAAGGTCCTTCCTTAGAAGAATCACCAGTTTTCCTGTGACCAGTGAAATGGTGTGATAAGCAGACCAGTTTTTGAATTCTTTTTAGTAGAGTAGCAACTGGAAACCCATAAACTGCAGAATTCTTGCTTCTCAGGCACACACAGCTTCCTGTGCCAGTGAGATTACAGTCCTGACAAGATGGATCAAGAGAAAAGTCGTTGTTTTTATCTGTTTTGAAGGCACAAACCCAGACTCCATTAGTCACACAGGGAGAGGCAGAGCACCTCCCAGACACCCTGAGCTGGATCTCAAGCTGTTCTCCACTGCTGGGACACAGGAGGTAAGTCCTGGTTGCCTCTTTTGATCCTCCACATGTTGGATTTCTCCAGAATCTCTCCACTTGTGTTACCTAACCCTTCTTTCCTGGCTGCCAGCAGCTCTCAATCCTCCCCTGATGCTATCAAAGGAGATCTCTGTCATCAGTGGGTCGAGTGTGGGGCTACAGGGCAACATTCCCCATTGCTTATCTCAGATGGGACACAGGTTTATTAACCCTTGTGCAAGTCCATTAATCCAGTTCAGTCCTAAAATCGGGATAATGACATTTATGTAACGACTGGAGGTGTTGGTGATCAGCCTGAACAATGAACACAATGCTGGGGACATTTCTCTGCCTTTGTGTCACTGGGTGACCACTGAGAAATGACTTGTTTGTCACACTCACGTGCCACCATTTTCAACAGAATTGAAAACTTTGTGGCACAGTTTTATTCCTCATGATTCCTCAGGAATTCTGAGTCATCAGAGACTATTTGAAATGGAGGCTGAGAGGTAAGAACTATGTTCTTCAGCCCTGCTGGATGTTAATAGAGACAATTTGCTAATTGTTTCCTGCTCTGTGGAAACACCTCCTGCTGAAGGCAGGTTTGGGGTGTAGGTGGAGACTGAACAGAGCCTGTCTGTGTCAGGCACATCTTCTGTGCAAGTTGTCAAACAACGGCGGTTTTGTTAAATTATCTTTCTTGTTAATCTAAAGCCAGTCAAACTGTATTTCCAAGAACTGAGAGCCTCACTAGAAAAAAAAAAGCAGAATATTTTTATGCTCATTTTTCTCAAGTTGCTGCCAACATTTCTCTTTATTTTCCCTGGGAGAGAGGGAACACAACCTGGGTTAGAGAGCTGAGCCACACTGTTCTGCTGGTGGTGTTGGGGAGGACAAGCTCAAAAGGGACCTAAAACTCTTCTGTTTCTCATGGCCCTTCAGTCTGTGGAGGGAAGAGCTGGTACATCAGCCTGGGACATCCTTCCTGCCTCCCAGGCAGAGCTCCCAAGGTCGAGGCTGGACCTACCCAGCTCAGAGCTGCTGTTTTAGCCGTAGCTCTTTTATAAATAGGCCCAGCTCAGCTGCTTAGCAGACTTATCTCCACCAATTACCAGGGATAAGTGCTCAGTGCTGCAGAGTTTATGCCTCTTATAAAGTGTTGAGTAACTGTGGGAGGTTACTCTGTGTGTGTGTGGGGAAAAGGAACCTGCCACTGGAAATGTGTGTTTTTTAGCAGTCACTGTATATTGGTGTGGAAAATGGCTCTAGTGGGGATTTATTACTTTCTTCTTAATGAATTTGGGAAAATCCATGCCAAGAGGCAGCTCAAATGACAGTGTACTCCTTGGGCAGTAGCTGGGTGTGGACAGATGTGGCTCAGAGAGGTGTCCAAGCTCCTCTCACCTGGAATGTTTTGCTGCAGACTTCGGGTTAATGCTTTGTCCCTGTAAAACTGAGCACTGAGTTCCTGCCCAGTGTCATGTTCTGGTGTCCCTTCACAGTTTGGGAATCTCTTCCACCTCATTAAAGACATTTGAGACCCCGAGACATCATTAACTCCATAGCACTGTGAACTGTTGCCTTAATTCCTTGCAGACTGGGCTGAGCAAGAAGGACTGAAGTGACATTTTAACTCAGACCCCTGGACTTTCACAAGTGATGTAACCTGGAATTTTCCCACATGTAGCAACTGCTTCCTCTTTCTCAAGTTTGTCTCAACCTTTGCTGACTGTCAGTTGTTTACAGCTTCCAGTTTCTCAAAAACAAACTCCTACATGAAGGAGAAAACAAAATCCCCGATTGCCACATTCTCACATGGGGTAACTTGTTCTCGCTTTGTGGCTTTGTCCTGATGTGATTTATCCACTGAGTCTGTGATCTCTTTAAAGTACTATTGGTTTGAGATGCAATTTAGGAATTAGAAAACCTGCCTGGGTTTGGTAACTGAAGGAGTCTTTTACTGTTGGAGGATCTGGTTTTTTGTGACAAAGCTCCTGGTGATTTCAAGGGACTGAAACCAGATGCCTTTTGTTTTTCCAGATCAAGTACAGACTGGAAAATGGTTTCCTCCATTTCAGCACCTTCTGCCTGTATTTGAGTGACTCTGACACAGTAATGTGTGTTGTCAAACAGGGGGTTTGTACCAGAAGGAGAATTTAACTGATGATGTCAGGCCACTTGAGGGTAAAAGTTCAGGACAGGTATTGTGGGAGATGTGAGGAGGGTGTGGGTGAGCTGTGCCAACAGCTACACCCTTGGCAAAGGGAGGGGAAGGCGTGGTGGGAGCTGGAGGGCACAGGACACAGGGAGACAAGTGGGTGTGCAAACTGTGCCTGTCCTGGGAGTGCAGGTAGGGGGGACATGGGGGGATGGTCGGGGGTGACTGTGACTGAGGGGAGAGGGTTGGAGATGATGGTTCAAGGGGAGACGGTCAGAAGGGAGATTATGGTTGGAGGCGAGATGGGTAGAGGTGAGGGGGTCAGAGGGGAGATGGTTGAAGATGAGATGGTTGGAGGAGATGAAGGTTAGAGGTGGGATGGTGAGGAGGTGATGGTTGGAGGGGAGATGATCCGGGGTGAGAGGGTCAGAGGGGAGATGGGTAGAGGTGGAATAGTCAGAGGGGAGATAGTTGGAAATGAGATGTTGGAAGAGATGATGGTTGGAGGGGAGATGGCCTGAGGAGATGATGGCTGGGGGTGGTGGGGTGGTCGGAGGGGAGCTGCCCCATGTCCCACACCCTGCACCTCTCCCGCGCGTACCCGCACCCGTGCGGGATCGCACTGTTGGCCACTATACAAACCCGACCATCCCCGATTAATTAATTAATTAATAAATATCTGGGCGATCAACCAGCCATGAGAGAGTTGGGGGGGGGCGGCCCCGCGCAGCCGCCGCGCCTGCGCGCTGGCCCCGGGTGGCTCCGCGCCTGCGCGCGGGGAGGCGGGGACGGGACGATGGAGGCGCGCAGGGAGCGCCGGGCCCGCGCCCCGCACCGACCGCCCCGCGCCCGCCACAGCGCCCGGCACAGCGCCCGGCACGGCGCCCAGCACCGCCGCTGAGACACCGCCCGCGGTGAGTCCGGCCCGCGCACGCCCACCCGCGCAGGAGCGCGGCCGGGCCGGGGGGAGCGGGGCGCGTCCCTCTGTCCCCTCGGTGCGGGTCCCTCTGTCCCCCCTGGTGCGAGTCCCTCTGTCCCCCTCGGTGCGGGTCCCTCTGTCCCCCTCGGTGCGGGTCCCTCTGTCCCCCCCGGTGCGAGTCCCTCTGTCCCCCCGGTGTCCGTGTGTCCCTCCGGTACGGGGGTGTGTCCGTGGGTCCCCCCGGTGCGTGTCCCTCTGTCCCCCTCGGTGCGGGTCCCTCTGTCCCCTCGGTGCGGGTCCCTCTGTCCCCTCGGTGCGGGTCCCTCTGTCCCCCTCGGTGCGGGTCCCTCTGTCCCCCTCGGTGCGGGTCCCTCTGTCCCCCCCGGTGCGAGTCCCTCTGTCCCCCCGGTGTCCGTGTGTCCCTCTGTCCCCCCGCTGCTCGCGTGTCCCTTGTGCGTGTCTCTCTTTTCCCCCGGGTGTGTCCCGGTGTCCGTGTGTCCCCGCCATGGGCGTCTGTCCCCCCGGTGCGGGTCCCCAGTGCGTGTCCTGTCCCCACGGTGCCTGTCCTGCCCCGGTGCGTGTCCCTCTGTCCCCCCCATGAGTGTCCCCGGTGCGTGTCCCCGCCGGGGCCGCTCGGATCTCCATCCCACGTGCCCGCATCCCCATCCCGCTTCCCTCTCGGGCTCCCCGGGAGCTCCGGCAGACCCAGGAATGTTCCCCACCGGGAACCCCGGGGCGGGACACTTCCCGTAGGGATCACAGCTCATCCCGGAGGAATAACAGCTCATCCCGAAGGGATAACAGCTTCCCGCAGGGATAACAGCTCATCCCGGAGGTGCGGGTCCGGCTCAGAGCGGGCCGGTGGGCTTGGGGTGTTAATGCCCCGCCCGTGGTGCTGCCGGGGGGTGTTTTGGGGTGGAAGGGTTAACGAGCGGGCTTGTTTTGCCCGAGTGTCGCACACGTGATGGTCACACCGTCTGGTTTTTGGTAGAAATAGCATTTGGGTGTGTAATCAAAACCCGGGCGGATGAATTGCAACTGCTGTCAGAGAGGGATTGGGCTCGTTCAGACCCACGAAAATGCGAAGTTCTAAACCAAACCAAGAGGAAGTTTTGGCTGTCTGATACACTTGTTCCTTTTTCTGCGTGTGAGAGGGGGGTTTAGTGCCCTGGGGAAAGAGTCAAAGGCAGGTAAACCTCTCTTGCAGTGCTTCCTTCAGCCAAATATAACATAAAAAAACCTTCTCCACAGAACTAAGTGATCCAGCAGACAGGGCTCTGTAGCAGTGGGGTGAGTGGTAGCAGTTTTGAATAGAACCTTGTCCTCTTTTGTCCTAATACAAGGTACAAAACAAGGTGTTTTAAATACCTCTTCAGTGTCCAGGAAATCAGAAATGCTGCAGCCTCGAAGGCGTGTGAGGATCTGGTGGGGATGGACCTGCACTGATCCTGTAACCAGGATCACTCGGGGCAGAGCCTTTGACAGGGAGAGTTTGTTATGAAATAACAGCTCCCAGGTCATTAAAAAATAAAATTAAGTCCCCTGGTGATTTGCAGCCTTATGCTCCTGGGGATGTGATGGCTTTGTGTCCCTCTATATAAAGGTGGTTTGATGAAACCTCTTCATGGGAGTGTTAATTCACAGAGGCAGAGAAATTTGAGGTGGGAAACTACAGTAAAACTGCAGTTGGATCCATGTGAGAGGTGATTCACCTGGTTCCTGTGTCACCATCACAGATATTTAATACTGAATGTTGACAATTCCTCAGTTGTCCTTCATTCTGCAATGTTGTTTTCCTTAGTTTTTTTTTTTTTTCTTAAACTTTTTAAATTCTGGACATGATTTAAAGCAGAGCAGCCTTTTCATTGCTTTGTTAACATGTGTTTAAAAGTCTTTGGATCCAGTCCTGGAAGCTGTTCAGTGATAGTTTTGTCCTTATGTCAAGTCTGCTTATTTAATAAAGGTCTTGTGAGGGAACGTTAATTAAACAGTGCACGGTGGAAGCTGTAGTTAAAACAGCCTGAATTGGAAAGTATTACATGGAGGGAGCTCTTAGGCTGTATTTAGTAGGTCTGTGCACCTTCTTACTTCCACTTTTGTGCTAATCTGATTTTCTTTACTGTCAGCATCTGTCAGATGAACATAATTCAATCAAAGTCACATGGAAACACTCCTTGCTTATTGCTCATTATATAAATTATTGTTCTCTGCCCTCCCCCCTTAGTCACCCAACTGGCACAAGCTTTACATTGAGCTTCAATTGTCTCAAAAGAGAGGTACATTTTTCCCCAATCTTAGTTATGAGGAGTTATGAATATGTTGAAATGAGGCTTTCCCAAGTGCTGGTCACGGGTGACGCTGAGCAATGAGTAACCCACAGCTAAACTTTGATGCCTCTGCAAGTGCAGGATGTTATAAATTATTGATGGTGGCAGTAATTGTACCTGTCTGTGGGGGTGGCTGAGCTGCAGCAGGAGCAAAAGTCCTTTTAAATTTGATTAGCTGGTGGTTCTGTCTCATTCAGTAACGAGCCAGTGCTGGGTCTGAAATTCCAGCTGCGTTTTATCGATGGTTTTGTTGCCTGGAAGTTGGGATGCTGGGAAACAGCACCTGTAAAATCGTGGAGTGTGTCATCCCCTGGGGATTTTACAGCCAAACATCATCATTCTGTGACTGTTTTCCAGAGCCACAGCCCATTTTAAAGGTTTCAGGGGTGCTCAGTTCCCCTCTGCACAGGACAAAGTGGGAAGTGCATCCAAAGGGATGAAACTCTGAAAAACATCTGCAGGTTTTTAATGAACCAATTTTTTTCCCCCGTCTCGGAATGCAGTGCCTTGAGGAATGTGCTGTTCCTCTGGGCTGCTCTCCTTGGATACTATTTGTTTATAGTTTGGTGTTTGTCCATACCCTGAAAGTTGGTTTCTATTTATATTCTGATAAGGCTGGTTCTGTTCGCTTCAAGTAATGAGAACTTACGTACCAGATTTCTGGAACTTCTGCAGCTATTTCAAGTTTGGGTTTTGGTTTGGTTTTGGTTTGGTTTGTTTCTGCAGAGCTGGGCTTTAACCAGCTGTTTATCTTCTGTTTGTGCTGGTTATTGGTGGAAGTGAAATACTTCACATTTGTCCTTATTTTGTCGTGTTTGTTTTGGACACATTTTGTCACAAATGAGTTAAGAACTTTCTTCCAACTTGTCCTCCAGCTTGTTTTTCTCTCTTCTCAGCCTGGAGTTAACCTGATTTTTGTGAAGAGCTGAGGTTTATTATGGTTATTTCTATTTCATTATCTGACAGGGGTATTTTTTTATGCTCTGTCTTAGAGTATTCTGGTTTTATGTGTCCAATATATGTATCACCTAATGGGAGACTTTATAGTTTTTCCTGAGTTTTCATTCCTTGGCACATATTTAAAGCTTTCCTTCCTCTTCAGTATCAAAAATAAATTCATTTTATCCCTTGTGTAACTGAAGACATGAATCTGTGCTGGTCTTGAAACAACTTTGTGCTAAGCCTGTTCTAAATCTGGGAACATACTGGTCATTTTTAATTCCAGTGTCTCCTGATTACCTTGAAGAACTTCCCAGTTGGGATCCTTCAGGGAAGTGTTTGTCAGTGGGTGTGAACTCGGTGTTTCATGTACCTCCCAGCTCCTCTTGCAGAAGCTTTAATAAAAACCAATTAAAAAACCACTGTGGGGGCACTGGGGAGACCCCACCTGAAGCACTTCTGGGGCAGTGATGCCGAGCACGGAGCAGGGGCTGCAGAAGGCAGGGAAATCACCCAAACCACACGGCTCATCTTGGCAGCAGGGGCAGTTCCAGTCACTTTTTGATGTTAAGCACAACTCCAGTAATTTTTTGGTGTCCAGCACTTGAACTGCTGAGAGAAGAGGGCGCCTTGGGGCTGTGTCAGCCAAGCCTGGGGTTAAAGCAGTGATCTGAATTTGAAGGGGAGCCCCGATAGCTTTGCTAATACCGAGATTTTTATTTTTTTTTCTCCCCGTGTTTTTTTCCTCCAGGGATCGAATTTCTCTCTGGCCGAGGCTCCTTCGCTTCCAGGATGGAGATGAGTCGGGAGAAGCTGTGTGCCAGCAAGGCTGAGGGCAGCTCAGACTCTGGCTATCACTGCTCAGCCTGTCACGACGACGAGGAGTGGGGCAACACCAGCCGGGGACGGTCCAAGTCACGAAGTCTGTCGGCTTCACCAGCCCTGGGAAGCACCAAAGAATTCCGGTACAAGCTCCTGCTTCTTCCTCTTCCTGCTAAAATAGATCGATTTAGCTGGATTTTAGTTTTCACTCCTTTTGTATAACCCTAAAACGCACCTCGGGAGGTTGGTTTTCCAAAGCGAGGGCAGGAAGTTGAAGGTGGGGGGTAAAGTAAGAAAAACAATATAATAATGTAATTAATAATAATTAATAAAAGTGGCCTGGCTGTCTAAACAGGTGTCTGAGAGTTCATAGTCTCAAAAAAAAAAAAAAAAAGGCACAAATCAACAGCAGAGACACTCCTGCAAATCTTTACAAATGCCCTAGTGCTGCTTTTATTTCCACTAGGCAGAGCTCTAGGGCTGTGTTAAAACCTGTGTGAGTGTTTAGGTTCTGTGTGAGGCAGCACAGTCAGTTTGTGTTTGCAGACACTTCCCCAGCCCTGAGAAGGTTCCAGCTGTTCCTTTGGGCCAAATTTCCACTCTCGCTGCAAGGCCCTTGTCATGTGGACAGTGATGGAACCTCTGATTCTGTGATCTTTGGACCCTCTGCAAATATTGGGCAGTGCTGGGGCAGCAGTGGCTCTGCTGTGGTGGAAGGCACAGCAGAACTTCACCTTCCTTGCCCTGTAAGCCTCTCAAGCACGGCCAGAGCCACAGAGGAGTTCCCCAGCCCATGGAATGTCATCCAGAGTTCCTGCTTTGCTGGTAGGAATGTCCTTGGGAGGCAGAGCACGGGTGGGTGAGGCTGCACATCACAGGGTGCAGGGAGGCAAACTGAGAGCCTCAGTCTGGAGAGGCTGCAGGGTTAGGAAAATACACTCTGTGTGTGGAGTTCAGGGTGTTTAATGCTTCTGGAAGGGGTTTGCTGAGGGCTCTGCTCTGACTGTTCCATCCTAGCTATGGTGGGGTGTGTGTAGTCAGTAAATAAGACTTTAAATCATCCTGTAAAACTGGGGGGCTTCCTCTGCTCCACTTTATGAACATAGACTTCAGTCAACCTGTGTAAAAGGCCATGTGGTCCAAATTTTTGTGTATTATCTTCTGGCTAAATTACTGCTTTTTCAGCCAGGAGAGATCTTTGTGGGCCCCTGTGCATTGTGGTTTGGGTTGGGGTAATTGCTGCCGAGATTTTTTCTTCATTAGGATGCTCTGCAGTCATTCACTGTCTTCAGTTTAGGGCTAAATTGTCACAAGACTGCCAGGAAGTGCTGCCAGGCTTCCTCTGGAGTGCTCAGATGGAGGGAGTTGCCCATCTGCTCTGAACTGACAGGCAGATTTTCCTAAAAGATGTATAATTTCCAGGGCACTGCTGCTCATTCCTAGCAAAGACTGACTACAGATAACTTTAAATTCAGTGCAGGCATTTTATTGAGTAAATAATAAACCCAAGTGAAACCTCAATGAGAAGTTACACCAAGTATTGATTCATTGCTGGAACGTCCTGAAGGTTGGACGTGGATATTTGATGCCTCGTGTGGGATCAGAATTCCAGTTACTGGGAGGGGCCTGGAATTCTTTCAACCTGTGTTGAAAGAAGGCAAAAAATGACAGTTATCTGGGAGAAGCTTGAGTGGGGCAAGAAGTGGGAGGTGATGTTGTGCCAGGGTGTTATTTAACTCTCCTGATTTCAGGTGTAATTGCTCACGAGTGGATGGAGACTTGTCATTCCCTTGCCCGTGTTGGCACACACGTTAATCCCTCGTTATGTCAGACCTTGCTCATTTTTCTGCTTTAATGTAGATAAGGTAGACTTTATAAAACACTTAGTAATACTCTTATCTGACTGAGTTAGTCATGCCTGGCCTTACAGATGGAAAAAAAATTATCTGAGAAGCGAATGTAATTTCTGTTTTCACGGTGGGAAGTCGGGTCTTGGGCGCTCGCATTTTGTTAGACGTGGAACAAGTAAGATGTTGCTGTTATTCCTTAATTATACGTGTTTGTAACCTGTGATCTGGTTTTGATTTTTATTAGATTTCTGAGGGGTTTTTTTTTTTAGCTCTAAGAGTGAGTCACAGGGCTGGCCTGAGCTGCTTTATAACACACACAATAGAAGGCAGTGCAGTAATGATGGTGGCTGCCAAGCAGTGGGGTAAGTGAATTAAGCACAGGAAAGGCATGTTTCCCCCTTCTTTTTAATGGAATAATTCTGGGAGCACTCACAGAACATTTCAACAGTTCCATGATCAAGTTTTGCTCCCCTTTCCAGATTTGCTGAGGGAGGTGAGTTCTGACTTGCTCCAGATAATCCCATCCTGGAGCCAGGAGTAACCCTGTGTTCTCCTGTCTTCATTTTGAGCATAAATGAGACCTCAGAGCTCCTGTTTGTTTGAAGGCAAAGATCACATGAGATAAATAAATAGGGGGGGGAAAAAAGCATTTTTTTTCAATCTGTTCAAAACTGTAGCCTGGTACTGCAGATATCTCTGTGTAGAACTGAAGGGTTTGCATTTCATTAATTTATTGAGTGCCAAGATTTAAACAACAAAAAGGTGTTTAAGTAACCAGGACATGCATCACTGTGGCAAAAGAGTTTGAAGGACTTGCCTTGGTGTTGGAGATCTCACTGAAAATGCTTGTCAGGGCACACACTGGGAGACCTAATGCATGGACATTTTTGAGATGAAGAGCCCTCACCGAGCCATTTTCCGTGCATTTACACCAGGTTTAGTCATTCTAAAGATGTGTGCTTTCAGGTAAGATCTACATCTTCAAGGAAGAGAGGAAAAAAAGTATTGTTGCTGTGCCTGCAGCAGCCAGGCTGGTGCAGACACCTGAAATGTGAGAGTTAATACCTGCAAAATGAAACGGTAACAACAGATGTAGGGTTAAGAAATGCACTTTGCCCTGTATTTCTTAGTGCAGCTGTTCCAGAGAAGTGGTTTTGGTGGCTGTGGAGCCAAATGTGCCCAGATTTCTTTTACTCACTGGTTGTTTTTTTTTTTTTTGTCCCTTCAGGAGAACGCGCTCCCTGCACGGACCATGCCCAGTGACCACGTTTGGACCAAAGGCCTGTATGCTGCAAAACCCTAAAACCATTATGTAAGTGCTCGTTCTGGGGCAAAGAGAAGTTTGCTTTCCCACTCCTCACCCCCTAACCAGCGCCGTGTGTGTGTTTTTACCTGATGTTTGGAGGTTTTCATGTCGCTTCCTTGCCATCCTGGGGCTGCTCTGCCAGACTGGCACGATCTGCAACCCACAGTTTGGGGTCAATTATGGCAATTTTAGTCACTGTAAACTCAGGGGAACAAAAATCCTTCAGGACAGCTCGAGGAAAGGGAGAGGAATTGTTCTGTGTGCTGTGGAATCTGAGGAAAGGCTTCTCCCTCCCTCGGTGATGATGTTAGAATGGGTGGTTTGAGTTTGTTGTGTTTGATCTCTGGCACTTTCTCTGTATGAATATTGTTAGGGCAAGCTTGCTTTCAGACTGCTGATCAGTGTGAAAGGAAGGGTTGGTGTCTGCTGAGTGGGCAAATAAACATTTTAATTTTGTAGGTTGGGTGGTATCAAGTGTTGCTTTTTACACCACATGTTATATACTCAGGAAATGGTGTCTTGGTCAAACGAGGAATGTCAGGGTTTGACCAAGGCAGGAGTCCCTGGTTTTGGGGTGGGGAGGCCCTGGCACAGGTTGCCCAGAGAAGCTGTGGCTGCCCCATCCCTGGGAGTGTCCAAGGCTGGGTTTGAGCAACCTGGGCTAGTGGAAGGTGTCCCTGCCCATGGGAAGGGAACTGGGTGACCTCTAAGTTCCCTCCCAACCCAAACCGTTCTGCGATCCCGTGATTTTTGTCCCTTTAAAAGGTTTTATTTCTTTGCTCTCTCCATTAAGTGTGAGGTATTTAAATCAATATTTACCTGCCCAAGCCTTTCCTCTCAGTAGACAGTGATGTTCCTCAGAACACTGGTAGTATCCAAACCTTTCCATCAGTAGACAGTGATGTTCCTCAGAACACTGGTGGCACCCAAACCTTTCCCTTGGTAGGTAATGATGTTCCTCAGAACACTGGTGGCACCCAAACCTTTCCATCAGTAGATAGTGATGTTCCTCAGAACACTGGTGGCACCCAAACCCTCCCCAGGCAGGTGTGGCTCAGGTGAGGGCACCCTGAGCTTCCTCATTCCTCGTGTGTGGTGTAAAAGGTGCCCTGCAGAGCTGAGTTCAGCTGAAACCCTGCCTGGGCTGTGCTTCCTCACCTGGCCGTGGGGGAGCAGCTCCTCCCCAGGGGCTGGCCCAGGACAAGGGATATAAGGCCAGGGACAGGAGCCCTGGGCTGCAGAGGCTGTGGGTGACACGTGCCAGGGAAAAGCTGCCTGGGCAGGAGAGCTGGGGAGCAAAGGTGCTGGAACTGAGGGACTGTTTGAGGACCAAACTGTAAATTGCCTTTTCTTACCGCACCCGAGGTTTTGTTGGATCTTCTAAAAACAAGCAAAACCTTTTTTGTTTTGTTTTGTTTTGTTTTTTCTCTGGTGTAATCAATAATATTGTTAAACTCCCTTCGCTGGGAGGGATTTTTTTAACAGAAAATTATAGTTTTTAAGTACAGGCAGAAGTCAGTGAAGGTCTTGGTGTCTCTCTCAACATGACCATCAGCACCAGAGCTTGCAAACCTGCTTTCTGAAGGCTGTTACGATGAACTGAATGAAGACTCAGTGAAAAAAGGATCAGGTGGTTGAGCCCTTTGAGAGAAAGGGGAAGTCAAATACCTGCTTTTAAAGCTCTTTTTTGAAATGGGGTTTTCCTGATGAAATCTTGCCTCTGAAGATCCGGAATAAACTGTTTTACAGGGGATTTTTCTGTGAAGCCTCACTGCTTTTTATTGGGACTGATTGCAACACTTCATAGGGAGAAACATTTTTCAGAGAAAAATGTTTTCTTCTGAGGTCACAGTTTATTAATTAAGTGATAAAAGCCTCAGCCTTTGACTTTTTTGGAGCTGTTGCATTTGCCCGACTCCTGGAGAGAAACATGAAGATCTTAAAGTGTGTTAGGAGTAATGTTTCATTTAGTAGAACTGCGTGGAATTGGTGAGTACAGCTCAAAGCAGGCAGAGGGGCTTCTGTCTGAATGAAGCTGGAACTGGTTCTGGGCTTATCCAGTGAAATCAGTGCTGCAAACTTCAGTTCCTGTCAGGTTTATTGATATTAGACTCCTGCATTAACTTAGTTTCTGCTGTACTTGTATATAGAATATAGGCATTAAAATGAATTTTAAATTTACATTAAGCTGTTTGACTTACAGTGTTCAATGGGGGGGGGGAAAAATTATGCTGTAGCTTTTTTCTGATCCTCTGATTGAGTGTTTCTCCTTATTTTGAGTGGGCTGAAGAGGGCAGAGCACTGGCACAGGCTGGAGGGGAGCAGGGGAGGTGGCAGTGGAAGGGTTTGATCCAAGAGCTTTTGTGGGGCTGCTGTTCCCATCCCTGTTCCCATCCCTGTTCCCATCCCTGTTCCCATCCCTGTTCCCATCCCTGCTTGCCCTCGTTGTTCACATGGCAGCAGGGCCAGGAGCTACAGCACTTTAATCCTGTGTTATCTTCCTGTATCAAAGCACTGATGGGTGTCAGGAGCATCATTACAATGGGAATTATTGCGTTTTCCTGCCTCTCCTTGCAGTTGTGCTGAGGGCTGGGTGTGTTATTGGCAGGTCAGGGTGACACTGGGGGGTTTTTGTCCTCCAGGCACATCCAGGATCCAGCCAGCCAGCGGTTGACGTGGAACAAACCCCCCAAGAGTGTCCTTGTGATCAAGAAGATCCGTGATGCCAGTTTGCTGCAGCCTTTCAAGGAGCTTTGCGTGTACCTGACCGAGGTAACGAGATGGAAAATCCAGTTTTACCATAAAAAGAAATTTACATCTAAACCTCTTTGAATTACTGAGCCTGTTTAATGTGCAGAATTATAAATATATATATAATATATAAATATTCACACCCATTGCCACTGGATGTAGTAAAATCCGTTTCAGAGCTCAAGATCAGTGCTGAAGTATTTCAAGCTAAAAACCAAAAAAGTGAAGTAAAAACTTCCTTCTGCAGTCCCAAAATACAGGGAATGGGATATTTAAAAAGCTGGAAGCCCTGAACAAACACAGCAGTGGTACTGCACCATGTAATCTGTGTTCCAGACTGTAGTTTAATTTATTAGATGGGTCTGTGCAAGCTGCAAAATTCTCGTGAGAATTAGAAACCACACATGGAAAAACAACCAAGAAATGCAGAGCACTCCCATAAAATATTATTATAAATATAATATAATTTTAAATAATATAACAATATTATAATATTATAATGTAATATTATAAATATAATATATTACATTATAATGTTATTTAAATGTTTTAAACTAATGCAAATTGTGGGGAGAGTCAAATATGTTGGCATTTTAAGACGTTAATAACGAGCTTATTGTCTCTCTCTCAAGGAGAACAATATGATAGTGTACGTAGAAAAAAAGGTGTTGGAAGACCCTGCCATAGCTAATGATGAGAATTTTGGACCAGTGAAGAAGAAATTTTGCACCTTCAGAGAAGGTATGGAAGTGATTCCCTGAGGGGACAGTTGTTGCTTTTTGTCTCGGTTGTTTCGCTGGGTCGGGTTTGTCAAACCAAAGTGTCTTTTGGCAGTGTTTGTTGGTCCATCCCAGCTGTGGGGTTTTTAATGTTTGTGAGGGAACGTTGTGGTGCTGCAGCTTGGAATTTTTCTTCCAAGAAACAAAGAGTGTTGCTACAACTGAATTCATATCTTGTGTTTCAATGTCGCTTCCAGATTATGATGATATCTCCAATCAGATAGACTTTATCATTTGCCTGGGAGGAGATGGGACCTTGCTTTATGCTTCTTCACTTTTCCAGGTTGGTCCCTGTGAGGAATAAACCTGTGAACCTTTTCTTTTTGAAGCATTTGAAAGTGGTTTTTCCCCCTTTGCTACCGAATTCAGCATTTGTCCTTTGGTGTTTGTTCCTGTTTCACCTTCTGAAAATGATGTAAAACGTGTTGGTTTTGTTAAGCACAGTTGAAGTTACATTAAATTAATATTAAAGTTACAGTAAGTAACTTTACATATCGAAGTTACATTAAATTAATATTAAAAATAAAATTGAAAGTCAAAATATTTACAGGCTATGAGTTGAAGTGTGAATTGCTTTGATTCAGTGGCTTTAAGATTCTTTTCTTTATTGATAGGGTAGTGTCCCTCCAGTTATGGCTTTTCATCTGGGATCCCTTGGATTTCTTACTCCATTTAATTTTGAGAATTTTCAGTCCCAAGTCACTCAGGTTATAGAAGGTAAATTTAAGGGGACAAGGCTTGGGGTGTTTGTGTCTGTTACATTTTTTCCTGTACCTTTTTCCCAAGATGAATTAAATTTTGTTAACTCATTTGGGTTCTCCCTGAAGATTGAGACTGGAGAAACGTGTATTAAATTAACAGAAGTATTGCACTGCATTGACCCTTCCAGTGCTGCTGTTCTGTGAAGGAAAATGGCTCAGAAATAACTTTGTGGAGCAAACAAGTCCAAGATGATGCAGAACTCATGTTAAATGGCAGCTAAACATAGAAATAGAGTTTAGCTCTGAAGCCTCTGTGCTGGTTCTCTAAGCTTAAAAGCAGAGAAGTCAGGCAAATATAGAATATTTAAGGAAATAAATGCTTTATTTCTTCAATATGAGATTGAGTTGTATCCAAAGTAGATTCCTGAGAAGATGTATAAAATCCCCACATTTCTAGAATGTTGCCTTTTAAATACATGTTTCTGCTGCTCTGATTTTCCTTAAGCTTAGCTTTTGTCTCAGTGAGGATCACCTGAGCCCAGCAGCGTTTTCCAATCTTGATCACGTCCCTGTAAAATCAAATTTCACATAGTGAGGAGGGTGGGAAGGGAATGAGTTGAAATTTTACTTTAATTTTGCTCTTTGCTACTAAAAAATCAGTTTTGAGCTTTAACCAAGTGCGGCCAGTTCCCTCGGAAATGAAACTGGGAAGGGTGGAAGCTCAGGAATAGAGGGCTGGCGTTTCATACAGTTTGCTGGGCGTTGCTGGGGGGGATTTTCTGCATTTAACACGTTCTTGTGTGTGTTCCACCCCCAGGCAATGCAGCTCTGGTTCTCAGGAGCAGGCTCAAGGTGAAGGTGGTGAAGGAGCACAGGGAGAAGATGACGGTCCAGAACGGGATCGAGGAGAACGGAGTCGTGTCTGCAAACCTGGAGAAAGAAGTGGGCAAGCAAATTATGCAATATCAGGTCAGAGGGCAGAGCAAGCAGAACTAAATACTGGTTTTGAATTGCTTTGTGCTTGTTTTATTAAGACTCTCCCCTTTTCTTTAGCTGACTCCTGTTAGCCCAGCACTGTGGGACTGATCTGTGCTGCTCTAACTCAGGGTGGGCACTGAATGAGGGGGATGTGGTGCCCATTTCTGCTGCTGCTGTGCTTTGCTTTGGCACTAATTTCACAGAAATCACAGAATTACTTAGGTTGGAAAAGACCTCCAGGATGGAGTCCAACCTTCCTTCTCTTTTGAAAACAGAAGTAGCAGCTCTAAAGTGAGATACAGCAAAGATTTTTTTATTTTTTTTTTTTAATAAATGAAAAGAGAAACCACTAGTGACCAGCTTCTGGAACTAACTGTTAATCAGCCTGAATTTTTGGAGGACTGGGAAACTTGTTTCCCTTTGTCCTTTATTACCTTGCCAGGGCAGCAGTGCCAGGCTGGGGTAACGTTTGGTGTCGTGGCAGGTCCTGAACGAGGTCGTGGTGGATCGTGGTCCTTCCTCCTACCTGTCCAACGTGGATGTGTTTCTGAATGGACACCTGATAACCACGGTGCAGGGAGATGGTGAGTCTGGGGCTCCATCCCTCCCCTCCTCAGCTGGGCACTGGGGTTATTTAACTGCAGGATTCCCTCGCCTGGAAATGAAATCTGAAGCTTCAGTTCCCCTGTGGCAGCAAAGACGAGTGTGCAGAGTGTGCTTGTTGACTGGTTAGTGAACAAACTAGGTGTTGTAAGCTTTGGTTTTGGGCTTGTGGAGGCAAGTGGCAGTTTCTTTGGGTGTCACATGTTAGGGCTAAAGGCAAGAAAGGGCTCAGAAAGGATTGGCTTGGACAGCTGGAATTTGCTGGAGGCAAACAACCTCAGCTCATAACAACCTCAGCTCATAACAACCTCAGCTCATAACAACCTCAGCTCATAACAACCTCAGCTCCCAACAGCCTCAGCTCCCAACAACCTCAGCTCCCAACAACCTCAGCTCCCAACAACCTCAGC